AAAGTTTAGTTCTTACAAACGGGTTGAACGATATGCAATCTAAGGGAAATTTGAGCAAAGGGTTAGACAGTAGCAAATCAAGTAATCGTAATTTTCTTGCAAAAGAATTGTTGTCGGTTCTCGTACAAACCAATACTACAAGGTTATTGCTCACCTCCTCTTAATGAAACCTTCCTTTTTCTCACGATTTTACTCGGAAAACTGAAAACAAGAAGGAAGAGATGAAGATAAAAGATAGACGAAGAACATCGAATTCTCTACCAGTCCCTGTTTGAGCCACATTAAAATTTTCATTCGCATTCTTCTACTCATTTTCAGTCACACATTTTTCAATAAAATAATATTTTCCATCACATCAATAACTTTTTCTTCTTTTTCAACAACACATTTTTCATCAATCTACTATTTCGAAATACGTTTTTTCAAAATAATGTGGTTCAAACACATACTCCTCTTGTGCCCCAGAAGTCATGAGGGAACCAGCGGTCAAAACAAGAAGGAAGGATGAAGATAAAAGATAGACGAAGAACACTGAATTCTCTCTCAATATCTCTCGTGCCTTAGAAGTGAGGAGGGAACCAGCGGTCAAAATGAGTCTTGATTTGATCCAATGGTGTCCAGCAACTCAGTTATTAAATCTAACAACGTCGTTTTCGAGGACCACGTGTATAGTGCCAACCCTTCAAGGCTCTAATATTAGTTTTCAGGAAAGAACCGTTCATTAATGTTGTCCCCATCTTTTCAATTTGTTTGTCGGTCGTACACCTATTGCCTATTTCATTGAATTTGAAAATAAATATTTTTATGTAACTTTATTTAATTCACTTATAAGTCCTGTTTGGTACACATTTTAAAGGTAAGAATGTATTTTTACTGCTGATGTGAAGGTGAATATGTGATTAAAAAAAATGAAAAGTTATTGATGTGGTGAAAAATATTATTTTATTGAAGAATGTGTAATTGAAAATGAGTAGAAGAATAAGAATGAAAAAAATAATGTGGACCATGACCTAAGTAATAGTAATTAATGAATATCTAGATTTGAGCAATTGTTACAATAATTAGACTTATTATAACAATATTTATATCAGAGTTAAACTCCTAAATTATTAAAAGAACGTAGCAATGCTTTTATTTCATTTGTGTGCTGCAAGAAAGTTGCACATTTGTAATTATTTTTTGAATTAATCCCCATGTACAGGGGATTAATTCATCAGGTCACTCACATGGTAGGCCCAACAACGTATTTAAAAAAAATTATGCGTTGATCCCACACGTGTGAGTGTCCTGTGAGGAACTCGTTTCCCTGCACCCGAAGCATGATTCTTATTTTTTAGTTATGTTTGATCGTGAAATTGTATAAATTTTTGTCATATATCAAAAAGTAAACTGTAAAAAAAAAGTTGCTTATAATTTGAGGTAAACATGCTCTTAAATATTTAAAATAATCATTTAACAGTTATTCCATAAGAATAATGTTCCTTATACAATGTGGATTACAACATCTCACAAAGGAGACGAGACCCACTATTATTCTAATCGTGTTAAGAATTGAGATTCCATCTTAAAATGTCAACCTTATTAAGAGAAGTAGCCCAAGATCTTTATT